GGGTTTGGGTGTTTATTTGAATATTAATATGTTTATGTAATTGTAGTAATAATTATTTTTCTGATTAACTTTAGGATGAAATGATTGTGGAAGACAGTGACACAGATTTCATTTTATCAGAAGATGATCTTGTTCCAAACAATTCTGAGAACTCTAATAATCCAGGTGTTTTAGACACCATGTCAGAGGATGAAGCAGCACTTGACGGTGATCTTGGCCTTGGAGCAACTAAACTACAAGGAATGCCGCCAATGCCAAGTCAACAGACCATCATTTAAGATGATTTTACCAATTCCAGATTTCTCTGAAGGGGACTTTGCTTGCGAATGTGCATTTTGTATGAATCATGGTTATTTTGTATTACTATCCCTCATAAATATTAATTTGGTATTTTCAATTCAATTCTTCTTGTATTCACCATCAAATCAATTTACAAATGAATCTTTTAAAATGTTAAATAGTGGATAAAAGATGAAAAGGACCTTCATGAAACCTATAAAATGAAGACCTAGATGTAGTAAATTGATTAAGTGAAAAAAAAAACTCCCGGAACTCGCAGGAGTCTCCTGGAAATCTGGACGGCCTTCCACACTCTCACAAACAAGCAAGAATCTCCCGGAAGTTAACCCATATCCCACAAATTCATATGTGCACGTTTTCACTGCTTTATTATCAATTGTCTCATGGAAGTCATTGCCAATGTGTATCACAATGTGCAGCAAAATATAATTAAATGTTACGAAAGCTAATTAGGCAGATCAGTGCCGGATTCAAGAGGGAAGCCCCCCCGCCCACTAAATTTATCAAAATTTAGAAAATGGAGAGAAAAGATAATCATATTCAAATTTAAGTCTGAGAGTGCCATTTCTGACCATCTACAGTAGACGTGCCATAATCATAAATTTTCTTACATCAGCCTCAACCATGGTGGGGCTGAGGTGGTATACGCTGGACACCTGTGAAGCCACTCTCTGAACCCCCCTCCGAGGGCGTCCAAGTTCTCCGCCGAGGGGGCGATGACCCCGATAGGAGCAAAGTGGGTGTAGTCGGGAATTTCTAAAGATATATCGAAGTGGTCCAGGGGCTGAAACCCATAAAAGGCTTATTTAATTGATTTTAGAGTACCAATATGTAGAAAACACAGTACCTGTACATGTAAATTTTTGGGGGTGTGGGGGGGCGAGAGCTCTCCTCTACTGGGGCCCTGCCTCCACACCCCCCTCCCCCTCCCCCCACTAATGGCAACCTTGCTCCCAGAATTGACTTCTTCCAACTTGGGACCCCTGCATTTCACAAGTACACAAGAAAAATACAACCTAACCTAACATTAAAAATCTAAAGAATTATTTAAAAAGCAAGCAAACCAATGACCAAGGTCAAATTTCAACAGGGTGTTGGGGGAAGTGGGGGTGAGGAATAATATTTCCAGGACAACTGATCTTGTTGATATGTATAACGATATTTTATTGGTCATTTCCACCTGGTAAGGGGTGCTGTACTTTTTACTACTTCCCTGCACATGCCAAATTTACTTGTACTCAGGGGAAAAGTACTACCATAAATCGACTAGTGCACCACTGCATAATTTTACCTTCACAGATCAAAATGGCTAATGCAGATGAGCAGTTTGCTGTTTAATATTTATGATGTATAGTTAAAAACAAATACAACATGGCTTTATTTGGCAAAAGTGTGAATTCTGATTAAGATTGGGTAGTCTCAATCATCCAAAACCTCGGGAAGTATAACTTGATACACCTCATGTTGTATTTGCCCTTCAAGCCATGTTGTATTTCTCAGATGATTCGTCTCAGTGGTACAAAGCCTCCAAGAGTTCCATTTTGATGAAATATTTTATGCCTATGGATAAACTTAAATCAGCTTATTGTATAAGATTGTAGAATTATTGTCTGCACATTCCCTTCTCAGTGGCATTTGAGATTTAATATTCAGCGATTTTTATCGTACTTGTACTTATAGTTATTGTATTCAAATATAAAATATGCATACTTAAGCAACAAAAAATGTAAATTTTTGATTTTTTTTTTTTTTTGGTGGAATGATTGGTTGCCATGTCAACACGAAGCTGAGAAACATCCATAAATTGATGCCAGTTTAAACATATCAATACCAGAATTATACAAGGAATGAATTTCTATGTATATGCATGATCAAAAACATTTGAAGTATCTGTAGACTCACTAACTTTGACTGTAATTTTTACCTGGTTTTGGTTGGTAGTATATTTTACCATTGTTCCATATAAGATATGGTTTAAGCTTTCTTTAAATCTAAGTTAACACATTGTGAATATCATAAAACAAACCCCTGTTATGTCAATAATCGCTGTTGCACGCTTTTCTTGTTTAAGTTATAATAACGTGCTAAATAGCACCCTACATTGTCCTTTCAAACTTAACACTGTAGTGTGATGTGTTTTTCTGTACTTATCTACTGACAACCATTAATATAAAATGCTGATGATGTAAAGTACTGTACTATATTTGTGTGGTGTTACAAACGGTACTACAGACTAGATAGAATTGTTTCAAGGTAATAATGTAAGTTTATTATATATAAGACTATTAAAAAATATCACAAATACTTCCTTTTTTTTTTTACATTTCCATGCGCTAGACTCAGGGTTGGCGACAGGATTTTCCCGATTAAAGTGTAAGTGGGTTGGTAGGGTGTTGCTCAAAAACTCTTGGAAAGTGAACCCCCAGAAACTATGGCAATTTAAGGGTTTCAAAGGCTCATTTAATCGATTTTATTAGAGTCTACTCGAGAATGTGTCAGTCGAGCGATACAAGTTGTTTGTAGACTTGTGAGATATTGCGCTATTTATCAACGTAAGTGAATGAGAATATATGTTTATGTGGGCAATGGCCACATGATTACATTTAACTATATTCTATAATAATACATGAATATTAGACAAAGAAACTCAGAATGACGTGATACAGAAAATCTATTGTTAATCGGAAAAACAATAAATGTATTAGTAATTTGAGCTTAACAGCTGGCTCGCTGGACAAACCCTGATAATTGCACTCACATATGCTACCAGTGTTCCATACTCGTCTGGCTGAAGTAACATTGCATGTACCAGACTTTTCCGTTAATGCTCTCTTGGATAATATTGTTAAGGTCTCACAAAACGACAGTGTTAAAACATACGGTACTTAAATTTTGTGGGACAAGTGTGCTTGTTAGGCACACGCGTATTACTGACTTTTCAGATTGGTAGGTTGTTGAGGGTTTAGTTTGACACACTAGAAAGGTCTGTGTCAGGCTGAAAGCCATCAACCAAAAAGCAATGTAATTTGTGATGTTTACTCTTGTTCTAATGTAAAAAAAAAAAAAGTCAAGTAAAATTTCGGTGTTTAAATGAAATGCATGTTTGTGAAAACTAAGGTGTAGTCGCTTATTTTAAAATTGGGACGTTAGTACCATATACTGTAATTTTCTTCTAAGATGGGCGATTCGTTCAAGTTGGATGAGTTGTCCCAAAAAAGTGTAAATGAATCCTTAAAACATGACGATTTTGGCATATGAATTTGTCCACATTGGACTGTTTGACGCACATTATATCGCTCAATTTTAAATAAATAATATTGATATTTGCAAATTATTAAGACTGCTCTGCAATATTGTTTAAGTGCGACCAGTCAATTCCCATACTAAATTAAGATAATTTTTTTCATAATATTTTACATTTTTATAGTTAGAGAAATTTGAATATCAATGCTGTATTAGCATTATATATTAATTATGTCATAGACTATAATTTAATTGTATATTAAAGAATTTAGCAATAAATATGTTATTTGATACAGTTTTTTATATATCTATATTAAGCAATTCCATTATCATTATTACTAATAGTACTGATTATCATTATTTTATTGTTGTTATTTTTTTTATATTATTGTTGTCATATGGCACAAGATTATCTTGTAGCATAAAGTGCCGGTCTTTACAACAATTATGTTAAATTCACAAATCTATATTTATATAAAGTGCTTCTGTAGGCAAAGATTACTTTTCTAGTTCATAATTAAAATCTTTTGTTCGCTATTTCCAAGTTTGTCTAATTAAGCTTTGTTTTAATTCCATGTTACAGTACCTGCCTTATCCCATTGCATGCCCAGTTTCCGTTTCTCATTCCTGATTTTGAATTGGGGTGATCATTCCAAGCAAAATTGATTAAAATTCTGGTTTTAACTTTAAAAAAGTAATGAGAAAATACCTGAATGCGTCCGCCTTAACGCAGCTGTGAATTTGACTTTCAAGTAAGGATGTGCGTGTTGAAGAGTTGGCTGTTTCATTTAATGATGCATTTCAACAAAGCACATCCAACATTTTTTTTTCGATCAATTTATTTTTCTGCTGCGATTATGACTTAAACTAATACCTGTGCATTCAGTGATGGCAATGTTTAAACATAGCCTACATTTCGATGTAGGCCTACTGTATACGCCTATATTATGCAAATAAAGTGAATGAATGATTACAATAACATAATTGATTTATTTATGATAACATGTTGTGTGTTATTTTAATTAACATAGGGCCTATTTTAATCTCTATCCTCATATCTTGGTTCCGGTTATCCATCACTTTTAGGTGGACAGGATACTTTGCTTTATAGGACCACATACAATACACTGACTAAATTCGAGGGGAACAGCCTAACAAGAAATAGGGTATTGCAAACTGCTAACTGTATAGTAAATGGAATGTATTAATAAATAACCTATATGCATGGACCTATAAATACTTAATGCTGGCTATGGAGACTGTGCGAAGGTGTGTTGTTGTATAGGTAGTGGTAGTAGTAGGCCTATATGCTAGGAATAATGCCGTAGCCAGGATTTTCAAACAGTGCGGGACAATTATCAGGGTGGACCCACTTTATGTGTAAATTTAAAAAATGTGGACCCATTTTACCCAAAAATATGGGAAATCTAGTGGACCCATTTTTGTAAAAGTTGACCCATTTTACTAAAAAATATAAAAAATCTGGTTCCATTTCTTAAAAGTTGACACGTTTTAGGTAAATTGAGAAATCTGGACCCATTTTAAAAAAAGTGGACTTATTTTATACATAAAACCGCATAATGGAAACCCATTTTTTGTGGACCCTATAGAAAAATTGTGTAGGACTGTCCCAATAGCTGGCTACGGCATTGGCTGGAACTAGGAACTTATAAAAGAATAGCAAAATATTTTGGTTCAGGTAATAAATTACTAAAAGCCTAATAAAACAAAACAAAAAATACACACTAATACATGTAGGCCTATTATAATATCGTTAATAAATGAATTAATACCCCGAAGCAGCAGCGCTATAACAGTTAATGCTTGAATGACCTCATTAAAGTAAATTGTTCATTTCCTGCGACAAGGCCCGTTTGGACATAACACTTCAGTGTCTGCTGAAGTCATAATTCGCTTGCAGACCTGTTCCGCAGTTAGACCTATAGGGAGATGTAATAATATATCGCTCTATGTAAAGCTTATCTATGATGCAAATGAAGCTTGTTACTGCATTTAGAAGATCGAAAACAGCCTTTCACGATGTCTACTCGACATAGTCAGTTTATCTTCTGTGCATTATTTGTTTTTATTACATTGCTTTCGATGGATTTCTATTTGGCCGATTTGTGGAACTCAAGTACTAAGGCTTCGTTCGTCGAGAAATTTAGGAGTTTTAAACTAAGGGTGCATGTAAGTTAATGTTTTAAAACCCCATCTCAAAGCCACCTCTTTCTATAATTATATGCTAGACAGGCATTATCTGACCAGTGACCAGCAGTGGGATAACGACGAGTCATGGCACCCGAGGACAAGAACATTGTTGAGACCTTGTATATCGGCAAAGTGTTTTTGCTCACGTAGCGAGGTGGGTAATCAACCTCACCCAACTGAAAATTGTTACGGCTGAAAAGGTTGTACAGTATTTCATTGTTAAACAATGTAAACATATATCGTGTGACTATTTCACAATGTAATCAACTCTGTTTCACGAATATTTTCAATTTGAATATTTGCGTGCAAAGATTTAGGTCAATGCATAGGCAATCCTCATTTGCGTACGCCTAGTATGTGTCTAAAAGCACAATCTTGGGCCATACATAAGCCAGAACCAGCGTGACCACTCACAATTTTTGATATACCCAATGACTAGGTCAAAATTATACCAATTAAGATTCAGCAAAAATTTCCCAAAATTACCCAAGCTCCCTGAAAATGCATTAAAATTTGAAAAAAGACCCCGTGTTTTTCGCATGTATACTTTCCCTTTTAGTTTAATTTATAAACCATTTTTAATTGTAATTGCTTGTGTTAATTATTAAAATGAATATTCATGAGGTAATAATACGGATAGAAAAATACGCCCTCAGTCGGCCAGTTTTATCAGTAGATCAGTGATCAAGTTGTATTATGTAATGCATAAAATTAGGTAAGATCAATGGCAACGCAAATCACAAATAAACAATTCTGAACCCATGTTTATAGCAATTAACAATGTTATGTGCACTTCGTTGAGTTTTGCTTACTTTGAATGGACTGAAATATACTTTGTTACTTCTTAATTCTTCCTCTATGACAAAAATATTTAATTTTCTTAGTAAAAATAAAATACCCAAGGATTTGAACGGAATACCCAAGAACCCAAGCCCGAGTCAAAATACCCAAGATCTTGTGTAAATACCCAAGCAGTGGTCACACTGGCCAGAATTGTCCCCATGAACCCTACATTGACATGTAATTCGACTCTGATCGAGGCTCTAGTCGGCCCCTTGATTAGACCCCCTGTCGAACATAGACACCCTGTCTGCAAATTTCTGGAGCCACGACTGCCTACTATGACATCTTGGCGGATTTAGTGGGGGGGGGGGGCGCGTCGCAGGCTCCCCCACCCTATTATATCACAAACAATTTTTTTTTTAGATAATTGAATGGATACACAATTCCATAGAAAAGTTGATTCTATGTCACATCGCGCAATGCATAGCTATGCACCAGCATGGAAACCATTAAAATCAATCACTCTCTATCGAGGTCAGCAGGTATGTGCTGTCAGACAACCCCATGCACAGTGATCACAGTACACTGATATGTGTGCACATTTCCCATGACGACACCCCTTCAGTAGACTTACTCTTTTAATAATGTACAGTTTTGTCTAAACAACATTTGACACTTTTGACGTGTAAGTTTTGCTTCCTTATTGTTTTCAAGTACAGTAGCCTACCTGGTTTAATCATATTGTGTAATTTACAAGATACACAGTACTATGAAACTGTATAATCCTGTCTCTAATTGACATGAAAGTAGGCCTGCCTAAAAATAGGGCCTATATAGGCCTATTTCCAGTGGCGGATTTAGGAGGGGTGGCGCGTAAGGGGCGTAGCCCCCCCCCCCCCAATATTTTTGCAAAGAAAAAATTAAACCCACAGTGTTAAAGTCTTCTTTTCCTACCATACACCCTAGGAGAGTGATATTCATAAATCCACTTGGTGAGAAATAGAATTACACTTGTAACTCAATGTTAATACAGTAGCGGATTTTGTTGTTTGACGACTTTTTTTAACGGATTTTGGATATTAGTTTTCCTTTTTGCTGATTTTGTGATTTTTATGCTCAGTGTTGCTGAGAAACCTCATCATGTTTTCTAGAAGTGAAATTTCTCTTAGGAAATGGTGTACATTTATGAGCCTTTGCATGTTGTCAAAGATTATGTTTGAGATGTTCGTGGAGGAAGCACTAAAACCCACAGCTGTGAGTAGATGAATTATTACTATTAATGACACATGTCATAGTTGCATATTGCAGGTACCCTGTCCAGTATATTAAAATTTCTTTTAAAAGACATACACCTATTTTTTTTATTTACTTGTTACTGAAAACTACCATGCTAGCAAAATCGACTCAATACAACCTCATTATTCCTCAAATGTGCTGGGCTTCAAGGGGACTTCGCCTCCTTGGACCCCCACCAGAGGATCTGCCCCTGGACCCCGCCAGGGGGCCCTAGGCGTCCCCCTGACCCCCAGCCTAAGGCTGCTCGCTTCGCTCGCAGATTGCGCCCCACCCTTTTCTGGCATAGAGAAAATTGCACAAAGATGAGTGTTTGACTTCTTCTTTATGAATGGAGTCTGTCTCTTATACACATCTAGATGTGTATAAGAGACAGGGTAATAATACGAATAGAAAAATACGCCCTCTTTATCGGTCATTCCTCCTATCCGACCTTTTATATCATGCCAGCACTCTTACAGGACATCTGTCTCAGTGGCAATATCGACTACAGGCCTATCATTAACCCTCTTCCCCATGCCAAACCCGTTTTATAAGGATGCTACTCATTTCCTTCAGAAACTATTGACATTCCCACTCGCAGCTTCTTAGCTAGGTGACTACGGCCCTCAATGCAAGGAAATTGCGGGGCCCTTTAATAAAGCCCGGAAGGAGCCCGGGAGGGAGGGATGCAGCCTTTCTTTCTGACTTCTCCCAAGTGAGCCCCGACAAATGTAAACATCTGTTTAAACACAAATTAATGTTAAAACATTTCGCCTACAAATGTGAAAATGCCCACTTATACCTCAGTATGTCCTCAATGGTATGTCATAATATGTCAACCGCAAATGTAAAAACTCTTTGTAAGATAATTGTTATCAGATGTTGTGTTGTGTGAGGTTTTCCGAAGCATTACTAATTATTAACATATTGTAAGAAAATTCCTGTCAGTTTTGCACAACTCCATTCCCTATTAAACCTCATTGAGATTTAGTTTGCGAAAAGCATCGTGTGTGGGTGTGTGTGTATGTTTGTCCGGAGGAATTGTCACCTACAAATAGGACAATGATGTTATTCGCAATTGACAATCCTCGGTGCATGTATTGTGTGCCTAAATAAATAAATGAAAAATAGTTGAGTTTTGGGGGTTTTTTTTAAATACATGTCCTTAATCTAGGCTGGAACTTTCGCCATACAAAGTCGAAATAGCATTGTAACTATTTTTAAACATTACCAAAATATCGTTATTTTCTTTTACAGGAAGGGCCGGACTTGTATAGGCCTACTGAAGTCACTGCAACCATCGAAAACCAAGTATGTGCTCCAGTCAGAAAAATAGTTTTTGCAAAGACTCATAAAACGGCAGGCTCTACAGTAGCCTCCATCATTGACAGGTATTCATTCAACCATCACCTTTCAGCACCTGTAAATGGCTTTGTCAGAAACATTTCCCAATTTGTCCATTTCAATCGCACTTCTGTTTCAGCAATTACGGAGCTGGACGTGTTCACTCGCCATGTTCGTTATAACCATAAGGAATTTGATTTGGCTATTCCTGGAGCTAAACACGTGACCATCCTCAGAAATCCAGTGTATCAATTCGAGTCTGCATTTGTGTTTTATGAGGTTGCTGACAAGCTTAACATATCAAAATTTGAAAATCCGATGGATATGTTCTTTCAGAAACCACACGAGTACATATCTCAAAGGTTTTACCGATGGGAGACTGTTTTTAATCATCAGTTG